TATTACGTCACTTATAGGAAATACTTTTTACAGACGTTCTTACAGAATACAAGATCTGTTACCGGTACAATTTCAACAAATTTACTACAATGATGTATCCACAACAGCACATTTTTATGCGTATGATATGTAAGGCTACAATATATTTTGATCTGGTTTTTCATAGTAGTCCCTCAAATTTTGAACTCGGTATTTTTCACGAATCATCCCAAGAACAATCATATCAGAGTAATTTAATCTGAAATTGTACACTTAAATGGATATATATTCCTGCATGCGATACAAATAGAATGATAAATAACAATTTCAATAATTGATATTACTTTTTCTGTATAAAATTAATATAAATTAATTATAAATTATAAATTACTAAATATTTATATTATATCGAATAGTTGAGTTCACATAATTTCAAAAAATATATGAGAGGCAGGATGATTATAACATTTTTAAAATCATAATTATAAATTTGTAAATATTCCTTTTTTATTTCCTATCAATCATTATTCTAATTAACATATATTTGTTTGTCGATTTTTTATTTTGTATTTGTATGCGTAATAAAATGCTTAAAAAGACTGCATTGTAATCTCCCAATATCACAATGTACATAACGGACGCGTGTTTAGGGACTTTGTAACAACAAAGAGATTACTCTTCGTATTCCTTCTTTTAAAATAAAGTGTTATCGCCAATGTATATATCTTCCTCTAAAGTAACAGTTAATGTATATAATGTTCATCCCACAATATTGAAGTTAACAGCCTGCTTTCTCTCGAATCCCCTTCGCCATACATTTCGATTAAAGTTTATATCTTTTTTTCTTTTTCTCCCCAGTATCGAATCTCTTTCCGCGAGTAATGGCCGACCGAGAAGCGGATTACGCCGTGCGAGTCCATGTCCGCCATTGTCTCAGCCTCAGTCGCAGTCGTCCAGTGAGTTCGGTCTGAGCCTGGCGAGAACCGACTCGGGCGGCCGCACGAACACCGATATCTCCGAGACCTCCGAGGATTACGTCACTGCCAATACTTCTACGGAAACCGGGACCACTACAGGCACATCCGCCACGACCAGTTCCTGGTCGAGGCCACCGCAGACGTCCAGCGCCGCGGCGTCGGCAGCGTCGGCGCCCGCTTCGACCACCGCGACCGCCGCGGAGGGCAGTTCCTTCGAAAGCGCAAGCTCGATTTATAGTCTGGCGAGGAGCGAGGTAAATCTTCTTCAATTTACAAAATTCACTTACATTCACAACTTCAATTCACTTTAATCTTGCTCCTCGCGACAAATGGCCGAAGGAGGGAATTATTTCAGTTGAGCAATTTTTAGATAAATATAACGTAAGATAGTTATCTTAAAATTAATTTCCTTTTATCTTCATCTTAACCTTTTGCCATCTTTAGCAAGTTTTTAAAAATTAGAAAATTGAAAGTTGAATTTAAGATTTTATATAACTTCAATTTATATTATTAATCTAATTTTAATTTTGATTTTCTTCAAAGTAAAATTCAGTTAAAATTAATCGGGCAACAGAATTTTGTTGCATCGGAAAGGAGATTTTGATTAAAATTGTATTCGCGTTTCATGCCGTCAGGCTGTTGTCGAGGAGCCGTGTAGTCCGCCGCCGATCTTAGAGGAAGCGGAAATCGCATTTGGATTAGAATTACCTCCGCCGTCAATGAGGTCTAGCAGCAGCAGTAGTTCGGGTAGCTACGACCTAAAAGATGCGATGACGGATCCGAACAATGATTTAGAACAAGTCGCACCACGCAGCGGGCATACCTCCGAAACCGAATTAGATCGAGAAGTAAGTTTGCAAAATTTTTCTTAAAACTTATAAAAAAATTTAACTTGTTTAACAGTCAAATTTTTCTGTAGCTCTAAAAAAATATGAAATAAATATGAGATAAGATATAAAATATTTTTTTGATAGTTACAAAGGATCTATCTTTTTACTTTGATAGGAGGGTCATCGATCGTCGTCCGGAGGTTACGCCGAGTCGCCGCCTGACGTTCGCATGTGGAGCGAAGAGGAACGCCGTCGAAAGAAGAAAACCTTCAGCTTGGACTTTCTCGGAACCACGTCGAGCAATGTCGAGTCGGAGCATCCCGCGGAGCCGACATATTCGGAAAACGTCGAGGTCAGTCCGACGCCCAGTCATCGTCACAGGTCGCGTAGCAAGCCGGCGTCGGCTCGGAGTCCTCATCGAAATAACAGAAAACGGGACTCCGCGCAACGGGACTCGGCGCAGCTGCAGCAACAGCAACAGCAGATACTCAGAAGTCCTCAGAAGGAGGAATGGCGAATGGAGCAAACCGAGGACGGTCCACATGCGCCAACGTCCGACGACTCGAGCTGCAGTCATCATTATCACATGCATCATCATCATCACCATCATATGCATCGGGAGGGTGCGGAAGGCGCGAGGCATCGTCGGACGAGGGAAAGCCCGAGGAGGAAGACCAGTGGTTACATTTCTACCAGGAGACGTAGCAATGAGGTAAACACGCCCGATGATTGTCAATCTAATCAAAATTTTTGCTTTTTCATTAACAAAAAGAAAGTACTTTCTTTTCTTCTCTATATATTTAATTTAAAAAATTTTTTTTTTTTATATATATATTTTGTTACATTAGCTGTAAATAATTTTGCTTTGCAGGATAAGAACGCGGCGTTAACGGGCAGTTTACCGCGAAGAAAGTCCCGCGTTGCGGACGACATAGTCTGTTCCAGTCGCCTGAGTCCTGGTCGTTATCAGCGTAGCCCAGGGCACAATGGTCAGCGAGCCCTCGTCGTGGAAGCGCAAAGTCCAGAGGCGAGACTAAAAGCACTGTCGGCGGAATCGTTGAGATCCGTCAGTCCGGGCAGCGACAATGTCTTTTACAGCGAGAGCGCCGATCAGCCTTGCGTCTCCGTCGCCGCTTTGGATGCCGCCCACTGTCATCATTGCGGCAGAGAGGTGATCTAATATTATTTATCATGCATTATTCATTTATTTTCCACTTTAATCCTTTGCTTCGGGATGATCTCTTTGCGAAAGCAATATTATTTCTCCGTTAGAAGCGTGCTCTTTAAAAGGAACGTTCAATTTCACTTTGGATCTTTTTAATTTTTAATTTCTGAATGTTTTCGTACGGCATTAATAATGTATTTACAAGAGCTATTTTAGATTGTCAAACGGAAAGAGGAAACTTTGAGCGCAAAGAATGAAGATTTAATTTATTTCTTGCTTATGAAAGCTTTTGA